CGGATTCTATAATAATTTAATGCTCTTTCGATTTTTTTGTTAAATTTCGCGTCCCCAAGGTTGCTGCCCGGCCTTAAAACTGAATATGTAACGGATTTAGAGCTGAAATAAACAAACTTTCTAATGACCAACATCGACACGAAAAAAATATATATCGAAAACCGGATTTAATATGTAATTTATTAAAAACTTACTCGGCTACTTTTTGCTCGCGCGGCATTCCCAAATAGAAATCCCGGAGTTCGTAGACAGGCCGGGACGCAGTCGAGGGTCCCTTTCCTTAACCGTTGGCAATTTATTTGAGAGAAAAACGAGCAAAGCGAAGCGTTACGTCCTCGAATGTGTCACCGCAAACTAGCCAAACAAACAGGGGGATGGTTTTTCGACTTCCAGACATAAATCACACCCTCGCATTCACGTCAGGAGCACAGATGCACTTCCAGAGAGACCGAAATGGCCCAAGAATTCGGTCGGAGCGGTCCGCTTGCGAAAAAGGATGGACCCTTCCAGTGGCGGAACACAAAAATAATTTTATTAATTGAAAAATGTTAAGATTAAAAGTTAGTAAAATAAAAAAGGGTTGTCGTTTTACCTGCAATTAATACTAACTAACATGATAATAATAGGTTTATTTCTACAGTAATCTGCAACAGTTTTCGATTTTCTGCATGCATGCGCATTGAGAAATTACCGTTTCTGAAGAATAAATCTCAAGCTCTGGGAATTTGGAGTATGGTTCTCAAATTATCACATCAAACCGTTTGCTGACTATCATACTGGTTTAAGATTTATCTGTGGACTGCATAATAATTTCGATTATTTACAAAAAAAAACTGTGAAAACAAGTCCATTCCCCATTTTAATAATTTTTCATTACACATATTTCGAGACCCTTCGCTCCGGCACTGGTAGCGGGCGAGGGCGGCTTTCTATAGATACGCCTGCGGGTTCAGTCACTTCTCTATAGAAATCTAGTGGCCGATACATATTGTCGAAACCCTCGACAGATGTTATTTCACGTTAAAAGAGAGTGGCCTGCGACGCAACGGTCCAACGATTACAATAATTATAAAAAGGCCCGTCATGTGGTCTTTGTTGGAGAACGTTTTATTTCACTTTCTAGGGAGGGGGTGGTGCGTGTGGTGAGGTATGGGATCGTTCCTGGAAATTGATCCTTACCGTTTCACAACACATGTCAAACGGTGAAAGATGTAATAACGTTGATAGATAAAGCCAATAATTATTGAATCACAAATTACATTTCTGTCGTATGAGTTCCCTAATTATTTGCAGATAGTGTATATTGATAAAACTATATAATCCGCGCAAAAAATTAGGGTCCATTTACCCCCACGAAAATGTAAATAATGAATTCAGTATTCATAGAAAGTTTACGAATACTGAATGAATACGAATACTAAATATAATGCCAGTATTCATATTTGTGAATACAGTGTATTTGCAATAATTATTATTTAAATTGGTTAATACAAGAAAGATTCATTTAGTTTTCTGTATCCATAGAAAGTTTATAAATACCGAATGAATACAAACACTAAATATAATTCAGTATTCATATTTACGAAAACTGTGTATTCGCAATAATTATTCTTTAAAGTTGTTAATACAAGAAAGATTCATTTGGTTTTCTGTATTCATAGAAAGTTTATAAATACGGAATGAATACCAATACTAAATATAAAGCAGTATTCATATTTACGATTACAGAGTATTCGCAATAATTTGTAATCTGAAAAGTTGTGAATAGAAAAAAGATTCATTAAGTTTTCTGTATTCATAATTATGAATACAGTGTATTCGCAATAATTATTCTGTAAAGTTGTTAATACAAGAAAGATTCATTCGGTTTTCTGTAATCATAGAAATTTTATAAATACTGAATGAATACGAATACTAAATATAGTACAGTACCCATATTTACGAATACAGTGTATTCGCAATAATTTGTATTATGAAAAGTTGTGAATAAAAAAAAGATTCATTCAGTTTTCTGTATTCATAGAAATTTTGTGAATACTGAATGAATGCGAATACTAAATATAATTCAGTATTCATATATACGAATACACTGTATTCCCAATAATTATTCTGTAAAGTTGTTAATACAAGAAAGATTCATTCGGTTTTCTGTATGAATATTGAATGAATACGAATACTACATATAAATCAGTATTCATATTTACGAATACAGTGTGTTCGCAATAATTATTCTGTAAAATTGTGAATATAAGAAGATCAATTCAGTTTTCTACACATTACTCATGAAAAATTAAGATTGTATTTCTATTTGCGGTTTTAAATAAAAAATACATTTTGTTAATTTTCTGACAATGTACTTAATAAACCAAGTAATAAACGAACTAGGTACAAATTTTCAGAATTTATCGTCATAACATCGACGCAAACCGTTGTCCAAACAACTTCTGTAACGTTAAAACGAAACACTAAAGTGATAAGCGTTCCGGATGAATCATTAATGCGGTTACGATTACGATTTTATTGGAACATCCATTTCTCCGTCCAATGACACATCATCTAGTATCATTATTTATTCACCGACTACCGTTACTGCCACTTTAATAAATGAAATATCCATAAGAGTGATCTCACAGAATATCACAAGAATTAAGTAATAAAATATAAATGGCATGTTTTATTATTATACAGGGTCGGAAAGTCCCCATGGTTCATCGGCCGTTACATGAGAGCGACAAAGAAAGTCAAAGAAATCGGTGCAATACAGAAAGATGGCTATAATGAAGGCGTCTAATAGTCACCGCCCATTTCGCCCTTCCACAAATAAGAAGTGGATCTTATTTGTGGAAGGGCGTAATGGGCGGTGACTGTTAGACGCCTTTATTATAGCCATCTTTCTCTATCGTACGGATTTCTATGACTTACTTTATCGCTCTCACGTAACAGCCGATGAACCATAGGGACTTTCCGACCCTGTATACAGAAGACCTTAAAAAAGTGAGAAGTACTCTAATTTATCGGATGGAAAATCTGTTTATAACTTTTACTAAGGATACCTACATATATATTAAATTTTGAACAAAAAATTCCCTGATACTACCAGGCTTTGCAGGAAGATTAAAAAAACATTTTGGGGAGGTCTAAGCTTTAAATCAGTTTCCATTTTTCAATCACAGCTAAATCCCTAATTTTATCAATATATCCCGAGTTTGATTATTTAAAAAGTAATACAAGTATAGGCTATAATATCTAAATGTACCTTACTAATTCTTGCCATGATATAATTGGAATTGTACAATTTCTATAGAGAAAAACTTCATTAGTCATATTTCATTAAAAGATTATGTTTTCTTTATCGTCAAAGGAATAAAGACTTAGAAAAGGGAAATAAATGCATGTCATAGGCCTTAACAAAATAACATAGCAATAATTTAATTTTGGTAAGTATTGATTAATAAACTAAAAATCTTGTCTTCTACATAAATACGTTCAATTTTAAACACTAAAATCGACACAATTTATATCTATATGCTATCTATATTCTAGAAATTGCAACCGAAACTCTATCTTTTGGAATATTGATTAATTATAGTCTCGTCAAACTCACATTTTTATGGTTATACAGAAAATAGTGTAACTGGAATATCGAATACAATCGTACTGTTTGTTATATTTCGGCCATGAGTCGAGTATATTTTGAGAAGAAAGTTGTGTTGTAACAAAACGCAGATCACAAGGCATGTTAATTTTGATATTTATACTGACGGTTTTGTGCACAAAGATATTGTATGACGTTACTTGTTATTGTTCTGTGGATTATTTTGCCCTCGGTTTTAACATGAATAACCACATATGACATAGCTTCTTCTAAGTGAGTTCAATTTTTTCGTAATAAAATCCACATAAATAAAGGGATAAATTGTTTTCTTTGTGGTAGGTATGTGGAATTAAATTATGTTCTACTTTAACCATACAAGCTTATCTGTATATATTTCGAGATTCCCTGTGTGCAATTATAATTAAATATAGCTCAATAAGACTTTAAAAAATATGAACATTAAAATATTAATAGAAATTAATACTTAATAACAGGCAGCCAACAAACATACCACACAGGTGGTACAAACGTAGTAAAATTAGTAGTAGTACCTAGTAAATTTACTTTTCAGTTATATGACATTCAGTGGCAGCAGTTTGTAGATAAAGACCGCTTACACTTGGAATTTGAAAAATTCTCTCATATTTCTTTAACATTTCTATATCTATGCAATTCCCTGATAATGCCGGATTGGTATTCATTGTTATCCATATGGAACTTATCTTTATTTAGTGATTACAGAGTTTTAACTCTTAAGAGCAGCATGAAATTAATCGTGTTTACATTAAAGCCAGTGGTTCCCAAAATGTGGGTCGCGACAACCCGGGAAGTTGCGGAAGAGATGATTGCAGAGGTCATTAAAAATTTTCCAAAATATATCAATATAAATTTATCTGAAATATTAAAAACAATAATAGGAAAGAGATATGCTTGCTTTTCGGAAACTAATTTCTTAAATTTACATGTTCTGTATTCAGATTTCTAGTTCCAGGTTATTTTTTAATATACTTTTGATAAAAATCATGCATGACAATATAATTTCGCACAAGTATAAAGTTGCAAATGGTGTCAAAAATTTAGAAGCATTTTATGTTAGCTCAGACTCTTCTAAAGTGATCTAATCTACGAGAAAGGATATTCTTATTTATGTACCTATTCATCATCGACTTTGTTCCAGAAAATTTTCAGGTATGTTGCTTCAAACAGAACAAGCGCAATGACTTGAAAATTGTGCAAACTTACACTTACTTTAGGCTAGTTAAACAAACTTACACTTAGTTTAGGCTAAGGGGGCCGCAACTTAAAAAAGTTTGGGAACCACTGGAATAAACAATCGAACAAACCGATGCAGCAATAGAACGCGATCGCTTTTCTACACAAACAAATTCAAACAAGCTACCCTTACCTTCTAAATCCATTGGCGGGGAACGGGAACCTAAATCCACTGGGCGGCGGTACGGGCACCGCGACGGGGGCGGGCCCCTGAACCAGCGGCACTTGCCCCATCTGTGGGGGCGGCGGTGCCGGGAAAACGAAACCACTAGGAGGCACTACATTATTAGGAACCACTGTTTGCAGCACGGCACCGTGCGGCGGCGGCGGCATCACGTGAGACGGTACAAGCGGCGGCGGCGGGACCATAGAGTTCATCACGTTCTGGGGCGGCATGCCGGCTGGTAGGGTGGAGTACGGAGGCGGCAAGTGGCTGTTCAGGATGTCGGGCAGCCTGTCGTTCACCTGGGTACTGCCTTCGACGGTGTGGCGGTGGCCAGAATTGTTTACGCGACGCTGGTGGCGTCTCTCGCGGCGCTCGCGACGTCTCTGCTCCCGGTTTCCCGATGGCGGTTCACTGACCGGGGGCAGTACCGATATCTCGTCCGTTTGGGCTTCGGTGCTAGTGAAAGTCCTAGGCGTGCGGAGAGGTTCATTGATGGGTTTGTTTGGGGGCGGTTGTGGCTGTGTCAGTGGCATCGTATTCATGGAGGCGTTGGAGAAGGTCCTGGTTCCGCTGGGCTGTACGTTCACCATCGGTACCACCGTGGTGCTTGGCTTGGTATTCTGGACGAGTTCCTGTCCGGAGGAGGTGACGGGCGGCGGCGGGAGGAAGCCACCTATGCTCGTGCAAGTACTAACAGTACTCCTATTGTTCGCGGTAGGTACCGGTACGACCTGGGGACTGAGAAGAGAATTCCTATTGTTGACATTTTGGAAATTACTGGGTATTTGTATGGAATTAGTGTTGCTGGTTTGCGTGTTGTGCAGAATGACTTGCGTGGTACCGTTGACGCCAGAACTGCTCGGGCTGGAGAAACCGACGGTGGTGGTCGCAGGGAAATTGTAAACCTGTTGTTGCGGAAAACTCGATCCCAGAGGCAGCACCTGCACGTTGGACACGTTGTTCCCCTGGACATTGCTGAGAGTGTTCAAGCAATGAATGGTCGGTACTGAAGAAACTACGTTCACGGGTACAGCCCTGTAGAAATTGACGTTGACGTTACTGACATTGTTGGGGACCTGGGGTGTGAACTTTTGGGGTATTTTTTGCCCGGGCACAGCGGTCGTCGTCGTGGCTGTGGATCCAGTCTCGTGCCTCGGTACTATGGGCATGGACTTTGGTACTGAACTGCTCCTGAAGTGAGTGATCTGGTGCGGGGCGCTCTGTTCCACTTGGGAACTGTGTCGCAGCTGATTTCCTTGGGAATTATTCTGGTACTTTACGAATTGGTTCGAGGGTTCGGAAATGTTCCTCGCGTGACTGGGAACGATCGCCGGCGGCGGCCTATTCTGCACGGCGCCGACCGGTACCGAGGCGTAGCGCGTATGGTTGGGCAGTCCCACCACATTGGCCGAACTCAGGCTGCTCTGGAAGACGCCCTGCACGGTCACGTTACTCCGGGGCCCAGTCTCGGGGCTCGGGCCGCTACCCTGAGGCGCGCCGGAGGATACATTCACTTGCATATCACCACTGTTTTGAACATCACTCGCGTCGAGGCCGTCTGTAGCAGCAGCGCGCGCGTTCAGCACCTCCGTTCGACTGAACACTTGGCTCAGCCAACTACTCGGCCGGATCGGGAGGGGGTCACGTGGACGGGGGCCGGGGGCCCATTGGTCGTCCAGCAGGTGAACAACCATCTCTGACGTCGCCGGTGGAGTCGTCGGGAGATGTAGGTCTGTAAAACTGCAGTGGTGCGGAGTACCATCGTTCTTTGTGATTTCGTCAAGGTCGCCAGAAGACGATGATGGACTGGTGCAGGAACTGCAACGACAACAGTGGCATTATGCGGAGCATCGGGTGTTTTTATTTACATAAATGCAAGTCGTAAGGTGTTCCGCGCGGCACCGCGTTGGTGCTGGAAGGTTTACAATTGAAGATATGGGTTAAGCAAATGTGAATGATGCCGCGTAATCTTTGTATAACCTTTTATTTCACTTTCCCGCGTCCAATATGTAAACTTGAATTTTTTAATTGGATGTTATTGAAGTCTTTTTTGTTACAGTTAATAATTAAACTAATTTTTAATGGAGGAAGAGTAAAATCGCAATAAAATTACCATAACAAAACAATTTTCTCTATTCATATATTCAGTTAGCGTTGTTATCTCTAATTAATAGTGATGCAACATAATGTTATAAAATGATAGATAATTCATTAATTATATCGTAATACAAATATTGCGTTCTCATATAGATTTCTAATTAAACGACCTAGAACGTATATACAGGGTAGCCCATCGAAAACATACCGCAAGGCATTACAGGGTAGTAAAGAACTTTTCGGCAAAATCTAAAATCAGGTCAAATTTGTTTCTGAGGGGGACAACTTTTGGCTCAAAAAGCATACCGAAATCTTCAACCCCCTAAGTGGGGGTGCTATCCCCTAAATTTTTTCAAATGGGAATGGGGGTCAAGTGGGGGGTCATTAGAAAGGGCTTTTAATTCTCTATACATCGATTCTTACTTTTTGAAAATCGATCCATTATTTTAGAAAATATGCAGCTTTGAAAATACGAACAATATTTTTGACGAGAAATGCGAAAATCGATTTAATTTTACTTCAAAACTTACGGTATTAGCTTGGTAAATTCCTTCAAAAGAATTCGCTTTTTTTTTTTCTGATTTGCGAATTCTTTAGCCTGATTTTGGTGAGCAAAAAATTGTCCGCTTTTTGTTTCGTATTTAGATAGGCCACAAGAAGTTGCTAGATAACTGTCTTGTGACTTGTAGTTGAAGAGTACCAATACTGCCGAGTCTTTTAAATTGATTAATTATGGTGTACTCAATTCCAGAAAGAGTAGAAATTATTGAGCTTTTTTTCAAAAACAATGAATGCGGAAATCGGGTCGCCGAACTGTTCAACCAACGGCATCCTGAGAAACATGCGTCTGGAAAAATTGTTCGCGAATTGGTGGCCAAATTTCGCGAAACTGGCTCCGTTCATAACAAAAAGAGGCAGGTTGAAAATCCGGTACTAAATGAACCTACGGAAATAGCGGTATTGGGGCAAGTGGCAATGGATAGTACGCTGAGTACAATGCAATTGGCTACTGCGACAGGAGTGAGTCGTACAAGTGTCCAACGAATATTAAAAAAATACAAATTCCATCCTTATAAGATTCGGCTAGTGCAAGAGCTAAATGAAGACGATTTTGATCGTCGTTTGCAATTTTGCGAAATAATGACTGAACGAGCGATAAACGATAATTTCCTCTTTAATGTGTGTTTTTCGGACGAGTGTACGTTCTTCTTGAATGGTTTAGTGAATCGCCATAATTGTCGTTACTGGGCTGATACCAATCCAAGGATTTTCCATGAGACACACTCCCAACACCCCCAGAAGTTGAATGTATGGGCAGGTATTTTTGGAAATTCCATTGTAGGTCCTTTTTTCCTTCCTGGAAATTTGACAGGCGATATGTACTTGGATTTACTACAAAATGTCATCGACCCAGCTCTAACAAATATCATAGAGGACGACCCTGCTTACAATGAACACGAACTGATTTTCCAGCAAGACGGAGCTCCTCCACATTACTCGCTCAATGTGCGCAATTACCTAAATGAGACGTTTCCAGGACGCTGGATAGGACGAAGAGGTGCAATTGAGTGGCCCCCTCGGTCACCCGACTTAAATCCTTTAGATTTCTTTCTCTGGGGGCACATTAAAAGCAAAGTTTACAGCACTCCACCTGATACCTTGGAAGATCTGCGAGGACGAATCATTAATGTATGTCGCGAAGTAACACCGCAAGTGCTCCAGAATGTTCGACAACGGTTTGAAGACAACCTGTATCATTGTATGCAAGTTGGCGGACAACATTTTCAGCATTTACTTGACTAATACCGTAAGTTTTGAAGTAAAATTAAATCGATTTTCGCATTTCTCGTCAAAAATATTGTTCGTATTTTCAAAGCTGCATATTTTCTAAAATAATGGATCGATTTTCAAAAAGTAAGAATCGATGTATAGAGAATTAAAAGCCCTTTCTAATGACCCCCCACTTGACCCCCATTCCCATTTAAAAAAAATTGGGGGATGGCACCCCCACTTAGGGGGTTGAAGATTTTGTTATGCTTTTTGCGCCAAAAGTTGTCCCCCTCAGAAGCAAACTTTACCTGTTTTTGTATTTTGCCGAAAAGTTCATTACTACCCTGTAATGCCTTGCGGTACGTTTTCGATGGGCTACCCTGTATACGGGGTGAGCACGAGGAAGTGCACAACCTTTAACGGAATATTCTTCAGATACAAATAAGCAAAACAGTTTATATACAGGATGTCCCGAAGTTAATGGGACACAGCAAGGGTAGATTCCTTACATACAAATATCTAAACTTACCTTAGTCCATTTGTGGATAATAAAAAAGTTACAGGTTTTTAAAAAGTTAAAATATTTTATTCAAAATTCTTAAAAATTTGTATAAAGTTTTCAAAGAATTACTATAAGAATTTGAATTCAGAGGTTTTCTGGGTCCAATAAAACGAATCCGAACTTAGCTGTCCTGTAGACGCTAGAGGTCGCTACAAAATGTACTCTGGGTTGATAAAAATTGGTTATAACATTTTTTCTCAGCGTATATACGTAAGTTTTAATAGAAAAATTTTCTTCCCTTGTCTATTTTACAGAAATAAGATACACTAAAACCGCTGTATCTTTTTCATTGCGTCACAGGAAATATTCGTACGAACTAAGACGAAAAATCCTAGTCAAATTAGTCACTGTTTTCATATCATTGAAATGTCATCTTGACAATTCCCAAATTTGGATATCTCCCGAATTTTAATAATGGTATTAATGGTTACGAAAATATGCCAGAAAAATCGATATTTCAACGCTCAGAAAATATATACAACAGTTAGTACAGATCAAAATAACTGTCAAATTTTTAATCTGATTGCCAGCTCTGTTTTGTTTTAATAGTCCAGACGTTATCTGTGAATCGTATATCCACGGAGATTTTTGGCTTTTTGGCTTTAAAATATCACTAGAAATGAAAATTTTTCTATACGCATAAAAAAACGTGGGCTTAACTTTTGGCGGCACAATATGTTTAAAAAATTCGAAAAATGTCATATTTTTCTTCCTATTTAATTATGTATCTTTTCAAGAGTTGATTTTAGGCGAAAATGAAAAGGAAAAAATTTTTTGTAATTAAATTTTACAAAATATGACTAGTTACAAATCGAATGAATCATGATTATTATTGTAAAAATCGCCAAAATGGGGTTAAAAAATATTGTTTTCTAGGGAATTTTTTGGGGTCTTTAAGTTGGGTATGGGACCTTCATACTTGGCTCAAGAAAAGCTCATGTTATGTAGAATCATCAAACCAAATTTCATCAAAATCGGTTCGATAAATTTTGCATAATAATTTTGCAATCCAGATTTTGAAAAAAATTTGCAAATTTTCAAATTTTTGCACACCAAGACCCTTAGATACTTGAAAATTTAATCACATATAGAAGGTCTCTCAAGCTTTCAAACGCTTTTTGAAAAATTCGAATCCGTCAATTAGGAGAACTCTGGCGCTTGTTAAACATTGGCGAATTTTTGTACTATAATTTTGTATTTTTGTAATATAATGAGTTAATTTCTCATTTGCTTATATTTTAAACAGTAAATAATATTTGAATTATACTTTAATCACAAAAGAAATGATGATTTCGACATATTTTGAAAATAATTGTTGTTTAAGCAATTTTGAAATATTTAAATAAATTTGTTTTTGATCTTTGATAAACAGTATAAGTTTACTTATAGTTTACCTTTGATACAATAAAAAAATAAAGTTGATAATTAAAGGAAGTTTAAAGATAAATAATTATCGGACTGTTGAAAGACCAATAATTATTAACGATAGGCATTTGAAAATACGCTAATAGTTTTTTTAAATCACGAGACATCGATTTAAAAAAAATCATCAAAATCGAATCTCGAAACTGAGATATTAAATTTTTTTTTCTGCTTCCCCCACCACCACCACCCGTACGATTTTCTTGAATTTCTCGTTTGCATAAATAACTTTAAACGCGTTTTAAAGTAGGTTTCCAATGAAGAAAAGTATTGCAAACTTAGACCTAGTAAGTACTCGGAATACCAAAGGTATTTTTCGAAAAATTAGCCCGTCTTTACAATAACTTTTAGAACCTGCTTTAAAAAATTTGATTTGATTGAATATTCACAAAGTTATTTTAATTGTTTATAAGTACAAAAATTCGACCAATGTTTAAACAAGCGCCAGCGCTCTCCTAATTAACGGATTCGAATTTTTCAAAAAGCGTTTGAAAGCTTGAGAGCCCTTATATATGTGATTAAATTTTCAAGTATCAAAAGGCCTTGGTTTTTGCTGTTCAAAATTTTGAAAATTTGCAAAGGACCCCGCACAAATCTTATGGAAATTGGGTCCCGGTCAAATTCGCTGAATTTTTGATATGTGATAGAGTTCATCATACTGGTCAATTGTCTCAATGGCCACAAAGCTCAAAAATGGATAGTTTGGCCGGTACAGAGCTTTAAAGCT